GAAAAAAGGCTATCATTAAAGATACGGACTTTGAATTGCTTATCTTTATGCAACTCAAGCCACAAGAATTTTGTGTTTATTTTTTATGATTCAAAAGCATTAATCTTACGGGCTATATAATTTGTATTTACTTTTGCTATATCTTCAAGATAAAGGATTCATTCTACCATCCGCTGTTTCCTCAATCCAGCTTTTAAAAATCCCTCATGTAGTGATTCAGTTCATGGAACACCTGTGACTTCCCTCTACAAATTGCTGTGTCAGTTTTTCTGCGGAAGGAGTCTGAGTTTTTCTAAGAATGTGTCCAAACTAAAATACCGTTTTATAATAGCATTAAAACAGCATTTTAATCACTTGATCATTTTAATCACACAGCTTGCAAGACTCAAAATCTTCAAAGTGTCCTTGTCTGAAATTTTGGGGACTCTGAAAAACAATTTTTTTGAAGTTGTCTCTCCTTGTTGAAAGAAAGTACTCTTCAGTGGTCTAAGCTCCTCCTCATCTAACAAGGCATACGCTGGTTGTTCTGTGGTTAAACCTGAATTTACACAATAAGGATGTGGCTACTACCACAGGGTGGTGCAAAACAGGGGAATCTTGCAAAGTCTCGGCTTTGGGCAGGATCCCAGTCAATGCGACAAACCCCAATCCAACGGCTCCTTATACCACTGGGCCAGCTGACGAACCTGACTGGCCCCTCCAGTCCTCCCTCTGCGTGCCAGCAGGACCTCATAAATTCAGGTTGAGGTTAGAATTAGGATTAGCGGTCACCCTCTTGTAGCTCAGACCCACTTGGCGCTGAAGCAGCTCCATGGGCTGCTTTCCAGAGGTGTCGGGGCTCTTAAAGGGCTAGTAATACTCAAATAATAACATGCCCCAGCCAGAGACATTTAACCCCTGAAAAATGTCAAGGATAATGGAAATGATAAACCCGTGTTTATCACTTCTGAGAGATATTTTGGGGGCTCATTTCTTTCTTTGTGTCCTGATGAAGAGAAAGGCAATTTGCGTATTCTGCTGAACCCTGATTCTCAACCGCCACAGTGTCCTGGGCACCAAGTTTCATAATAGGACATTTAGGGGAGACCCTTTCCCCTTAGAGCCTGGCTGCTGCATCTGCCACAGTCATACCTTCACATAAACAGCCCCCTCTGTGTCATTTAAAACTTAGAAGTGCTCTCCACAACTCACTCCTGATCAACTATATGCCTAAGGTGAGGCTGGGCACGAGCAGGTATTTTGCAGTGACACGAACTACCATTTGTATAACTCATTGTATTTATGGTACGGCTTCATCCTCAGCCCTGGGCTGGGCATTATGACCATGTTGGTTAGTGGGCAAACCCAGGTACAGAGGGGCTGATAACTTGTCCAAGATCATACAAGGAGAAGAGAAAGAAATGGAACTTGAATTCTGATCTTTGGACTTCACATTACAAGCAAGCAAGACTCATGAAAGCAAGCCTAAGCAAACCCAGCTCTCAGTGGGATGGAGGCCCTCTAATGCCAACACCAGACAGAAATACCACACTTTACAAAACATTCTTGCCCAGGAAAATATACCAGAGGTACTTACGGCTAACAGAATTATAGGATGATGACAAATGGGTCTGCTGAGGACAGGGGTAAACACCCGACAAGCTTTGGGAGCCTCAGAGGGCAGTGCGTCGGCATGATCTGATAACTGGCTTTCATAAAAATGCTCTTAAATCAGCAGGGCGAATGGGATCTGATATGGCATTCTTGTTTCACAAGGCAGTGAGTTAGCTGGAGATTTGGGAAACTCTTATATCAAAGAATGTATGACACAAACATTAAGACCCTCAAGAGATATGATTTAAATACTGGAATATTTTATTTCTCTGAAATGCCTCATGCCCTGATGATCCCTGACAAATGGGATGCTACTGTATGGATCTGCTCATCTCTCAAATCTAAGTTTCAGCACAATGTTTAAAGTCCCAGCTTTAAACAATGGAAAAAATTTACAGTTAAACTTCTCACAACCCTACATTGTTTCAGTCTAGTAAAATAAAAATAAAGTCTTCTTTTACCCAGTGAGCCTCTAAATTTCCCAAATCCTTGGTAACAGATGAAATAACTGACGTAACTTGCTGCTTTCATGTGCATAAAACATCACTTTCTTTTTTTCAGTCTCCCATGCACCAGGTTTTCAGTGAGTACCAAAAAACTAAACGTATTTTTCAGAGTAAAATGTAGCATATTCCCAATTCTTAAGGCTCCTCAGAGGATTAAATGTGATTTAATGGACAGGAGAACTTGTTCTGGTAAGTTTCTCAGATACTGGAACAGTGTAGGTGGAAATGGCAGAGAACATGAGGGATGCAGTTGTCCGCCACCCAGGGCCACCCTCTTGCCTCTCAACCTCCTCATTTTCTCCAGGAGAGGAGGCTGGCTTTCCAGTGCCCTGGGCTTGGGCAAAGGAAGCTCTTGTCCCTCCCTGCTCACTGCCCTGCTCAGCTACCATTCAGGTGAGGCTGCCCTGCTCCTGGGGAGCCAGGCTAAGTCTAACCCACAGAAAGAGAAGCTGTATCTGGACAAGTCTCTAGAGACTCCTCCCCAGTGACCTTGGCTGGTGACAACCTATTTAGATGGGAACAGAACTGTGCTCATTCCACACTTTGAGCTTTTCCCATGGAAATTTGTCATCATCTAACTATAGAATGTCTGTAAATGGAAAACTGAAAATGCTAATAGTAAGCCCTCTCTATTGTGACTTGTATTGGTGTTCAGCCCTCTTAGAGAATGCTTGCTGCTATATATATATATATATATATATATATATATATACACACACACACACACACACACACATATGGGACAGAAAGGGAAGCCTATTATGTCACCTCCTTCTAAAATTTTTTGATGACTTTCTCCTTTCTACATAATAAAGCCTGGGTTTCTTATTCTAATAGGTAAAGCCTGCTGCGAGCTACTTCAAACTACTTTCCCAGTTTTTTCTCTCATCTCATTCCACCCCATCTCCATGCCCATGTCCATCCTAAAGACATGCACATACACATACACACACACACCACACAGCCTCCAGAAACTCCAATGGTTCTACATTAATTACTTTTTCTCAGGCCCTTTCTGCTCTTCCTTTCTTTCTTTGGGGTACCCTTTGACCATTTCCCTAAGTTACCCTAAGCACTGTTCCAACTGCTCCTCCAGGCCAAGCTCAAATGCCTTCTGTTTCCTGAATGTTCCCCCAACCCCCTATGCTGATTGCCCATCTCAGTTTACCTTTTCCAGGGCCTTGCCTTAGAGTTATCTGTGTACACATCTATGCTGCAGAAAGGTAGGACCCTGTCCACTCAAGTCTGTATTCCCCTGGGCCTGTCTGGGATCTTGCATGAAGTAGATACACACTAAATAGCTGAACCACCAGTCCACCATTCTCAAAGAGAAACTGGGGTCAGGGACCTGGGAAGAAACAAAAATGGCTCTACTTTTTACTCCTGCTGATGATTTCAACACTGACTTTGAAATTCTTCCTCTCTGCTCTGGCTTGCAGGCTGCGACAGGCTTCACTACCAGTGACCATTGGCTAAAGCCAGGTGGCAGTGAAGATTCAGACAGTTAGCTGAGTCCTCCAGGCTCCTGGCAAAGTAACTGGAACTGCGGTAGAGCCGGCAGGGAACCCTAGAGCCGCCTCCCAAATTTGAGTGTGGACATTATGCTGAGATCCCACCCTTCCAGCCCACCACCCTGCGCTTACTGCTTCCCTCTGGGGTAGGCAATGTCTTCGCAGACAGGGCACAACTGAGAAACTCTGAGCACACTATTTCACCCCTAAAGCAGAAAGTGCTGGTTGTTTGGTCCCAAAGCCATTCTTTACTTCCTTGGTATCAAAAGCCCTGATTTTTAGTGGGGTAAATGGCCTCCCACAATAAACACTACATTTTCCAACCTCCCTTGCAACTAGGTCTAGCCATGTGACTAAGTTTTAGCTGATGAGTTATAAGTGAAAGCCATGTACGTGACTTTCAGGAATTGTTCTTGAAAGAAGCGGGTACACTCTTATTTGCCCCTTCCTCTTGCCTGCTGGCTGGAACGTGGAGGGGACTGTGGAAATTGGACCATAAAGTAGAAGCTAAAGGCCGGGCATGGTGGCTCACGCTTGTAATCCCAGCACTTTGGGAGGCTGAGGCTGGCGGATCACGAGGTCAGGAGATCAAGACCATCCTGGCCAACATGGTGAAATCCAATCTCTACTAAAATTACAAAAAAATTAGCTGGGTGTAGTGGCATGTGCCTGTAGTACCAGCTACTCAGGAGGCTGAGGCAGGAGAATCGCTTGAACATGAGAGGCAGAAGTTGCAGTGAGCCGAGATCATGCCACTGCACTGTAGCCTGGTGACAGAGCACGACCCAGTCTCAAAAAAAAAAAAAAAAAAAAAAAGATAGAAGCTAAAGCTGAGAGCGACAAAACAAAAAGGGCTCGGGTCCTTCCACTACATAAAATTGTGTAAGCTCTGAATTGTTTATTCATAAACTTCTTTCACATGAAAGAGAAATATAGTTCTATCCTATTTTAGTCATTATTACCTTAGGTTTTTCTGCCATAGGCATCCAAACCTAAACCAAACGGAAACATTCCTGTGCTCTGATTTCTTCCTGTGAAATTTCCAGTGTCATAGAGTTACTCCAAATGTTAAATGAAAAATCTCTTTTAAAGTGTTCTTTAAACAGACTCCTAAAATTTTAGCTTGACACACAGGCATGGTGGCTCAAGCCTGTAATTCCAGCACTTTGGGAGGGCAAAGTGGGTCAATCACTTGAGCCTAGGAGTTTGAGACCAGCCTGGGCAACGTGGAAAAACCATACAAAAAATACAATAATTAGCCAGGCATGATGGCACACACCTGTGGTTCCAGTTTCTCAAGATGCTGAGGTGGGAAGATCACCGGAGCCTGGGAATTCGAGGCTGCAGTGAGCCAAGACTGCCACTGTACTCCAGCCTGGGTGACAGAGTGAGAACTTGTCTCAATAAAAAATAAAAGCAAACATAAATAAATAAATACATAAATAAATAAAAGACTTGTAAAGTTGCAGCTTGACACCTGGGATGTGATCAGTAAGTATCTTTTATCTAACTCTTTTCTTTTCCAGCTCAGGCTTGAGAGATTTTGCTGTGACTTTTTCCAGGGTGGTTTAACATGCATGTTCTCTCCAAAATTCTTCTCCTGGTTGACTATAAGACACAGCATCTGGTGGAGCTGAAATAGCAATAGCCGTTACTCACGGAGAGCTTGCCACACGCTGGACCATACAGTCACTTTACACGGAAGATCTTACCTCGTTACCGTGACTGCGCAGTGTGAGGTGAACAACACCGTCATTTTGCTGAAGCAGAACCTGAGATTCCAGGGAGTGAAATACTTGCCCAAGGTTACACAGCTCATCATGAGCGGTGCTGGGATTCAAATCTAGGTCTGGTCAGCCCTGGAATCCATGCCTTTGACCACATGGCTGCCTCTGCTGAAGGGCAGAAGACTTGGGGAAGCAGGAAGATTTCCCTGCTGCTCATCCCGCTTCCACCTCCGCAATCACCTAAACTGACATCAGGACCCTCTTCCAGCCCCTCCTTCTCCCCCTTTCTCCACAGAGGGCAGAGGTGTGTTCATGAATCTGCTCTCCTCAGGCCCTTGAATTTTGTAAGAAGTGTTGCAGAAAAATGCTTTCACTCGTGGCTGAGTCTGAGGTTTTGTCCTTTTCCTAGTGATTTTGATGCCACTGCGCCACTGCGTGAACATACCTGTGAGATGTGTTATTTTTGTTATAAATAATTTGAAATTATTGGAATGTAAGAATCAGCATTTGGATATAGCCGTTTGAGGGAAGAAGGAGGAAAATTACCCGGTATCGTTAGAGCTGCACCAAAATTGCATTGAGCCAAACTTGCCACCAAGAGCCCAACAGTCACCATGATGCTGAGCACGGAAGGCAGGGAAGGGTTCGCGGTGAAGGTCAGGGGCCTACCCTGGTCCTGCTCAGCTGATGAAGTGATGCGCTTCTTCTCTGATCGCAAGATCCAAAATGGCACATCAGGTATTCGTTTCATCTACACCAGAGAAGGCAGATCAAGTGGTGAAGCATTTGTTGAACTTGAATCTGAAGAGGAAGTGAACTTGGCTTTGAAGAAGGACAGAGAAACCATGGGACACAGATACGTTGAAGTATTCAAGTCTAACAGTGTTGAAATGGACTGGATGTTGAAGCATACAGGTCCGAATAGCCCTGATACTGCCAACGATGGCTTCGTCCGGCTTACTCCCATTTGGCTGTAGCAAGGAAGAGATTGTTCAGTTCTTTTCAGGGTTGGAAATTGTGCCAAATGGGATGACACTGCCAGTGAACTTTCAGGGGCGAAGCACAAGGGAAGCCTTTGTGCAGTTTGTTTCACAGGAGATAGCTGAGAAGGCCTTAAAGAAACACAAGGAAAGAATAAGGCACAGGTACATTGAGATCTTCAAGAGTAGCTGAGCTGAAGTTCGAACCCACTATGATCCCCCTGGAAAGCTCATGGCTATGCAGCAGTCAGGTCCCTATGATAGGCCGGGGGCTGGCAGAGGGTATAATAGCATTGGCAGGGGAGCTGGGTTTGAAAGGATGAGGTGTGGTGCCTATGGTGGAGGGTGTGGAGGCTATGATGACTATGGTGGCTATAATTATGGATATGGCTTTGGGTCTGATAGATTTGGAAGAGACCTCAATTTTTTTTTGAGGAATGTCTGATCATAGATATGGAGATGGTGGGTCCAGTTTCCAGAGTACCACAGGGCACTGTGTACACATGAGGTGGTTACCTTACAGAGCCACTGAGAATGATATTTGTAATTTCTTCTCACCTCTTCATCCCATGAGAGTACATATTGAAATTGGACCCGATGGCAGAGTTACTGGTGAGGCAGATGTTGAATTTGCTACTCATGAAGATGCTGTGGCAGCTATGGCAAAAGACAAAGCTAATATGCAACACAGATATGTGGAGCTCTTCTTAAATTCTACTGCAGGAACAAGTGGGGGTGCTTACGATCACAGCTATGTAGAACTTGTTTTAAATTCTACAGCAGAGGCAAGTGGTAGAGCTTATGGTAGCCAAATGATGGGAGGGATGGGCTTATCCAACCAGTCTAGTTATGGAGGTCCTGCTAGCCAGCAGTTGAGTGGTGGTTATGGAGGTGGTTATGGTGGTCAGAGCAGTATGAGTGGAAATGACCAAATTCTGCAGGAAAACTCCAGTGACTATCAGTCAAACCTTGCTTAGGTAGAGAAGGAGCACCAAACAGCTAATCCATATATAAAAGCTGTACATTTGTGGGAATTGAATAGAATGGGAGGGATGTCTAGTATATCCAGTATGATTGGTAAATGGGAAATATAATTGATTCTGATCACTCTTGGTCAGCTTCTCTTTCTTTATCTTTCT